CTTAGGGGTGTAGGGATAAAGGCAAGACACTGTCAAGTCCCCCCAACCAGGAAGGACATCACCACCGGAGAAATGGCTGGAGCACTGACTCCGGCCAGGGAAGGCTGGCCCCACGGGAGAGGGAGAGGCAGAGGCAGACACACACACACACACACACACACACACACACAGGCTGCCCAATAACACCAGTGTTTGTTTCCCCAAATAAAATCATTTTAACACAGGAAAGCATGCAAAGGAAGCAGCCCTCCCAGACAGCAGGGGGATGGTGGGCACCAGGACTGACCACCAGCCAGTCAGCCAGCAGGGCCATGAGGCCAGCGGGCCCCTTCTCCACACCCCCACCCAACACCGACCTCAGCTCAAGTGCGGAGGCAGAAGCCCAGTGGAAGGCCCGGTGAGTTTCGGAAGCATGATTTAAATAGACTTTATTGTGGCGAGGTGGGTCCTACCCAGCAGGGCCTGTACATCGAATGACATGGTCCCATGATCACAATGGAGAAATCAAGTGGTCACATTGCAGAAGAGGCCGCGGCAGCTGAAGGGCGCCCTCCAGGGGAGGCGGCCAGGAATGCAGCAGGCATGATCAGGAAGGCGGGTGGTCAGGTCCCAGCGGAGGTGGACGGGCCCTCACTCCCGCTTCTTGTAGCTCTCCAGGTGAGACAGCACCCAGCCGGCCGGCAGGAAGATGCACAGGAAACAGGAGGTGAGCCCAATGGCGACTTCCTGCAGGGAGCACAGGAGGGAGGAAGCCCACAGTGAGAAGCTGCCCCCGGGCGGCAGAAAGCCCCCTCCTGGAGAGAAGGCTCAGGCTGCAGGGGAGGAACACAGCAGGTCCAAGGCCCACTCCAGGCCCTGAGGTCAAGGGTCAGACATGGAGGGGCAGCCCGGTTTGGATCCCTGGAGGAATCCTCCATCCGTTGATCAAGTGAAGGAACAGGAACAAGGATGTAAAGCTGTTTATAGAGGGGCCGGCTGCGGCCCAGAACCTTAAATGGGCTGGTAACTTTAAAAATGCGCCTCCCACCTCCTTCCCGGGGCTGCTAGGCACCCCTGGGGCTGGAATCCAGGCTTTTTTTCCCCCACCCCCCCAGCCATTTCCACATTCCCTATGGCTCAGATCGCTGGGAAACTTGGGAGTCACGCTTGAGTTCAAATGCCTTCTTTGCCACGGAAGAATTATGACTTTTGACAAGTCAATGTGGCTGCTCCTAAGTCTCCATTCCCTCAGCCAGAAATGGCGCTCATGCCTTTCCTCTCGAGCCACGGGCAGGACGGACGGGGCCAGCACAGCAGTCTTGGCCCAGTGCCTGGCACACAGCAGGCCCGCAGCGGCGCCAGCTTCAACTATTATCACTCTGAGCTCCTCCGCCGCAGCGACCTCCCAGGCCTGCTGCCCTGGATCCCCAGGGCTTGCTCTCAAGGCGGGGTCTGCCATTGCGGCAATGGATCCCTGCGCCCAGCAGGAGGAAGCTGTCAGTCGGGCTTAAGCGCTCCCACGTTCCTGGAATTGCAAACACCTGTTGGGGTCCTCCCCCCACTTCCCTAACAATCAGTAGCGGTAGCAACTACTACCCTCGCTGACAGTCCAGGCTCCTCCAGGAACCGACTGGCAGGCTGTGACCCGAAACCCTGGGCCCCGCGCCCCCGCCCGCTCACCAGCGTGCCGAGCTGCTCCCGCGGAGGCTTGGAGTGCACCTGCGCGCGCGGCACCAGCAGCCGCCGGGCCGGGCTCGCGAGGCCCCGCAGCAGGAGCGGCGCCAGCGGAGACATGACCGCACCGAACGCACTGCACACGGCGGCCGGCGGAGCCCAAGGTCGGGGAGTCGAAATGGCTGCCCAGAACTTCCGGGCAGCAGAGGCGGGCCAGAAACGCCCCGGAAATGACGAAAGGCCGCGCCTCCCCAGTTTTTTGGCGCGTTCCTCGAAACAGCCAATCGACGCCGCCCTCCCGCCGGTGGGCGGGGTGTGGAGAGCTCCTGCCGGTCATGCCCCGCCTCCGGAGCGGCCCATCTTCCTGAGTGACAGTTGTGGTCACGCTGTCACGCTGTCACTTAAGTTTAAGTATAACCCTAGGCGGCACCCTTTTTTAGAGAGGGAGGGAGAGAGGGAGGGAGAGAGGGAGAGAGAGGGAGAGAGAGGGAGAGTAAGGGAGGGAGAGAGAGAGAGGGAGGGGGAGAGAGAGGGAGGGGGGAGAGAGAGAGAGAGAGAGAGAGGGGAAGGGAGGGAGGGAGAGAGGGAGAGAGAGGGAGAGAGAGGGAGGGAGGGAGGGAGAGAGAGAGGGAGAGGAGAGGAAGAGAGGACCGTGGAGGAGAGAGCAGAAATTGCTGGGCTGCCTCCTGCACCCCCCTCCTGGGGTTGGAGCTCCGAGCCCAGGCACCACCCTGGCCGCCCCCTCCATCCCTGCGCCCCTCGCTCTCCAGACCCCCCTCTGCCGGCCTCCCTCCAGGCTTCTGGCCCCGCCGGCTGACACTCACCTAACCGAACTCTCCTCTCTATTAGCTGTCAGCCTCTCTAACCCTGTCTCCACGCAGGGCAGCCGACCTTCCTCCCTCCACCCCTACGTTCCTTCTTTTAATGTAAACACAAATCTAACCAAATCACACACCTGCTTAACTCTCACTGGTCCAAGTTCCAATTTCTGGATGTCACTCCAGCCTGTCTCTAAATATTCCGCACCTCCCTCCTTGCTCACGGGTGGTGCCTCCCCCATACTCGGCCCCCCCCCCCCCAGCCTTTCGCTTCTTTGTATCTGCTCTGTATCTGCCTAGGACACTTCACACCTTAGCTCCTTTCCTTTTTCACCACTAAAGCCTCCTCTCCGCCCCCGCTTAGGGATACAGCTAGCTCACTTTATTCAATAAATATGTACTCGTCCCTACTGGGTTCCAGGAACTGTTCTGGATCCAAGTGATGACAAATATTCGCGGGGGAGAGAGGTGATAAACACACTTTGTGAAAAGCTATCCTGTTTCCCCGAAAATAAGACAGTGTCTTATATTAATTTTTCTACCAAAGTTGGGCTAGGTCTTATTTTTGGAGGATGTCTTATTTTCGGGGAAACATGGTAGTGAGAGTGCCTGGTGTGGTAGGAAGTAATGGGTGGCCCTTCATCCGTCAGCCTCCACTGGCCACCCCAGGCCCGTGCCGCCTGTGCCCAGCAGAGCCTCTGCTGGCACTGCCCACAGGGCTGGTCTCCGTCCCTAGCCTGGGGCCACCTGAGGGCAGTCTGGGTCTGGCTCGCCACTGTCTCCGAAGGGCCTGGCACACATCCACACACAGACGATCACAACAAGATCACAAGGGAGATATATTACTCCAATTTTCCGACAAAGGAGACAGGATTCCAGGGCAGGTCTGTCTGCTTTTAACCACCTTCACACAGGTGCTGTGGAGAAGTGTCCACAAGCTGTGGCAGGGGGCAGGGGGCAGGGGGCAGGGGGCAGGGGGCAGGGTGGAGGTGGGATGGCAGGACTGGGAGCACAGGAGCTGTGAGAACACTCAGCCCCATGGAGGCAGGCGGGGCTCACAGAAAGGCGGCCATGGACTCAGAGTCCCCAAAGGATGAGCAGTGCCTGAGCTTCCTCTGGAGGAATGGCTCCCAGGCCCTGAGCTACCGCCCTCTCTCTCCCTCCCCCACACTCATGGGTGTGGGCAAGGTCGCAGTCTCGGCCCAACCCCACCTCCGGCCCCAGGCTCCTGCCCTCGCCCTGCCCCAGGCTCTGGCAAACAGCCCAGGACAGATCCTTCTAAATCTGCAACTTTCCCCTCAGAGCACACAGCCTAGGGGCTCAGGCGGGCCCAGCTGCAGCCTCTAGGAGGAAGGGCAGGGCTGGGTCAGGCCTTTGTCTCTGGAACAAAGCATTAACGCCCAGATTAGAGCACCCAGGCCCCAGGCCCGGGACCCTGGAGGGAGGAACAGGCCTTCCAGGGTCGGGGTTACTCCGGGAAAACGCCCCATTCACCTCCTTTGCCTGCAGCGGGGGAGGAACAGCCTGGCCTCTGCAGCCCTTGGGGAGGAAACGAGGGGAGGAGGGTGCCTGCCCTGGGTGAGAGGCCAAAACCAGCTCAGATCTGACCACTCATCCAACCACCGTGCCTCTTGCCCTGCTCCTGGGCGTGCATTTCAGCAGTGCCGGGAGCCGAGGAGCTGGGGCTCAGCTGGAGGGCAGTGGAGGAGAGGCCGGGGCAGATAAGACAGCCTCACAAACCACCCCCCATCCTGGGGTGCCCACATGGCTGAGGCCACCACAGGCTGGCACCCAGCTCCTCTCCCCAGATAACTGACCCTCCAACGCGCAAATGCTCCCTGTGGCTGGGGAGTCCTCCCTAGCCTCCCCTCCTTCCCACAGATGTGGTCCCCACGGGAGCGCAATAGGCCAGCCCCTCCAGTGTCCACAGGAAGTGCCTCTGAGCCCTACCTTCCGGCCCACTTCCTGCCTCTCCCAGCTCACCCCGGCCAGGTCTGGCCGGAGTCCCACCTGGGAGAGGAGCGCATGGCCCCACCTGCCAAACGTGAGGGCAGGACAGAGCCTCCCCAGCTGGAAACGTCCCTCCCTCAGGCCTGACCTGAGTTATCCTTCCTCGGGGCCTTGCCTCCTGAGTGGAGGGGAGAGGGGCTGGATCTTTTTCAGGCAGAGTATTCGGGGTAACCCAGTAAAAGGGAGATACCACCACCCTGCGCCTCTACTCAGCACCCATGCTGCACCTTCAGCCACAGAGGTCACAAGACTCCCTCCAGGATGCAAAGCAGGCGCCCCTTTACCTTTGACCTCTGCCCAGGGCTTCTGGGAAGTGACAGAACACATGCCTTTGGTCTCAGCTCCCACCTCTGGCTGCTCACCCAGACACCCCGAGGTTTCTCAGGCTGAAGCTTCTCTTACAGGAAGGGACGGCGACATCACCGCTGCAGCCTCCGGAGCACAGGCCCAACGGGGAGCCTGGAGACCGTGTCCCCGCCCCCCGCCCATGGCACCCAGCACAGCATGCCCCGGCAGCTGCACAGTGTCTTTATTTGTGACATACAAATACAATGCAAAAAGATCACTTTCCCCTTTCATTCCAGTGATAACAAGTTGCTAAAGAAAAAATATATCCTTCAAAGTTTCCTCTAAAAGACCCAGGAAGGGTTAAAAACCATACTCATCATATACACATTTGACATCAACAAAAATAACCTGAAGTGAATACAACTAAAATAAAAATCTTAAAAAACAGTTTAATGTGCCCCAAACAATAAACAAAAAGCCTGGTAAAGGCCTGCTGTTTCTCATCACCATGGCCTGGGTCAGGGGGGACTGAGGGTTGGCTCAGGCAGCGCCTCACAGCCCAGCCCCCTCCCAGCAGCCCCAGGGCGTGGCACCAAATGGACTCAGCGACTGGAGAGACAACATACACTGAACTCACCTTCGGTGGGATTTACTCTGGGGTTCCTTTGGTCCCCTTGAGAGGGAGGTATCAGAAATCCATGATCTAAGACAATAAATAGTTACCATTCTGTCTTGGAGAGACAGGAATCAGGAAACACTCTTCCTAAACATGCTTCTGTCCCTCCAGGATTCTTGGAAGCCCATCATCAACCTCCCAGAAACGGGAACTCCGCCCCTTGGGTAACCCCCTGGAGCCAGCAGGCGAGGACACGGGGCGTATTCCAGTGTAAAGCTGCAGGCCCCTCTCCAAGGGGTTAGGGCCCGCTCACAGCTGGGGGGTCAAGAGCAACGAGGAGTGCTCGGCGGGGATCTGGGGGAGAAGCAAGCACAGCTCCAGGGAGGCCGTCAGCAGAGGCCGAGCCAGGCCGCGGGCTGTGAGCAGACAGGTTGGGAGGACCCGCGGGCCTCCAGGGCAGCAGCTTCACGAAGGCTAGAACTTTAGACACCCCTAACGCAGGGTCCAGGACGTCCAAGTGGAGGCGTAGGCGCTTGTTCCTGGGTAAGGATTTGGTCGTTTCCCCTGGAGGGAGAACGAGGCCTGGGGAGTAGGGCAAGTGGCAGCTCTAACCCCACAGCCTCTATCCTGAGAAGAGGAAGGCCTTCCCTCCTGTGCCAGCCGCGGCCCCAGGTGCCCCGGGAGGAGCCGCTGTGGCCACCCCGCGGTCCTGCTGCAGCCCGCGCTGCCGGCCAGGGCGGGGCACTGGTGCCTCACGGAGGCAGCGAGGGCGAGGCTGGGGGCGCAGGCGGGGGGCCTGCTGCTGGAGAGGGGGACCCCCGGCAGAGAGCTATCAGCACCACAATCTGAGAGGAAGGCATTAGCGATGCCAGGACGAGAGGTCCTCTGGGGGGAGACGAGGGGCTCCCTGATGTTATTCCCCCCTTAGTAAGAGAGGTATCGGGTGGATGAGAGGCAGGGGAGTGTGTGAGGGCGATAGAGCAGTCAGGCAGGCCTCCGGCTTTTTGCTAGGATTTAAACGAGTCATGCCATAGATGAGGTTAAGCTTAGAACGCAGCACAGTCCAAAAGCCCGAAGGAGCAATGGGGCCCCTCCTCCGTGCTCCTGGCCTCCTCAGCCCGACAGGGATGGAGAGGGAGCAGCCTCCTTCCCAGAGCTGCTGGTCCCGGGACACCCCTCTAACTGGGTCCACAGAGCACAGACCTTCCCCGGACGCCATCAGAGCATCCCGCCCGCGAAGCCGGTGTCTGAAGCCTTGCTGTGCCCAGACCTCCCACCAAGTCCATTTGAGGACCAGCCAGACCCTGACCAGGGCGCCAGGACTTTCGTTAGGTGGGCACAAACACTCCGTTTGTTCACGTGTGTGTGGGGGGGGGGGGGGGAGGGGCGCAGTGTCAGAAGTCCAGCTACAGAGGAGTCGGGGAATCTTACGCTCAAGGGCGCAAGAGCGGAGTGAGAAGGCAGCCTCCATGCCAGGATGACTTCACGCCCAGCCTCCAGCCTTCACCAGCTTCTTCTTCCCTCAGCATCCTCTCCTCTGGCTCCCTCCTGGCACTCTGCTCTTCTAGGAGAGGAGGAGGGGCACTGTGCTCTCAGGGCACAGCCTGGCACGTGCAGGGCTGCGGAGGCCACAGCTCTGAGGGCACCTTGCAGGTGGCATGAGACCAGGAGAGGGTAGACCTTGGAGAGGGCGTTCTGGTTGAGAGTTCAGTGGCAGCAGCCACCACAGTGCCCACCAGCATGGGAATGCTGACTGTCCCCAAACTTGGTCCTCCGGCTCAGGATCTCGTAGGAGCAGTCCTCCCCGCAGCAGCCAGACATGCTGGGGGAAGAGTCATCGACTTCAAACCTGCAAGGCGGGAGGAGAGGTTGCTGCAGGAGCTGCCTGCCTTCCTCGCTGGCCCAAGAACTTTCCACCGCCACACTCTGAGCCCCCTAGATGTGAGGACACAGGAGGAGGGAAGGAGCCGAGCCAGAGGGCACTCCCAGGCCATCCCCCAACCCCCAGCCCCCAGGACCTCGGAACAGGGAGCTGGGCTTCAGGATGAAGGGAGCCAGGACCAGGGAAAAGGCGTTGGGGCTGCAAGTTCCCACCAGGGCCCAGCTCCTTACTGCAGCGCTTCTCTGAAGAACTGGTAGGCGCCATGATTGTGCTTAAATACTGTTAACATCACCTTCTTCATCTGTGTGCTGGGGAGAAAGCAGAGAGCATGCCTTGCAGAGACAGGTACTAAGTTGTGCTTCCTCTCTTGTGCCTCTGCCTGCCCCTCAGAAGCACTTCTGCGCCCCGAGTCCAGCCTCTGTCTGGGGCACCCACCGCACTGGCTGCCCACTTCTCCACTTCCTCTTTGCACCCCATTGTACACGAGGCGCGTTACAAACTCTGGGATGACAGCAGGCAGGGAATATCTTGCTGAGAGGGTTCTAGATGCCCTTCTTCCAAAACATTCCCGAGCCTGTTCTCCACGGAGACGCACGAACAGCGCCGCCTCCGAGGCAGCCCCTTCCACCTGCGCGGCCCGCGGGGCCCTCACCTGTTGGCCATGAGCTGCAGAATCTGGATGAGGAACTTCCCCAGGCCTTTCCGCCGCACCTTGCTTTCCAACTGCACTTCGTAGCTGGGGGAGAAGCAGAGGCGAGCTTAGGGGCTCGGGCCGGCCAGAGACTGACGGCACGGTGGACTGTGCCTGGAGCAGGGTCTCCTCCCCGCACCACAGCCCAAGCCCCCAAGCCGGGGCTCCTACCAGTACAGGACTTCGTCCCCACACTCCACGTCGAACCGGAAGTGGGAAAAGGCAACGGGCACGGAACTGTTTTCCCAAGCAATGAGGTACCAGGCTCGGTCATCTGTCATTTCCTCCCGCTTTTCTCGGTCCTTCCAGCCCCACTCACTCTGCTCATACCTGGGAGGGTGGGGCGGTCAGACCAGGAGCTCGGGGAGGAGAGAGCCAGCTGGGCGAGCCCGCGGCCGCCAGGGTCTTACATGGTCTGCATGTTAGTTTTGGTCAGGTCGAAGGCCCAGTCCACTGTGGCCGCCTCCAGTCCAGACACTCGCTTACACTCAATGGAGACGTTAAGGCTGAGAAGAAAAAGAAGCACGTGAAGCCGCTGCGGCCCCCACAGCCTGACCTCAGAATCTCCACAGAAGGCTGAGCCCAGCCTCCCAACAGACTGCAGAAGGTGCCTGGGAAGGAACGAAGCCTGTGGGCCAACGAACAACTGTCATCACAGGCCCGCCCCGATCACAAGTCCCTCCTCCACGGCCCTCACCAGACCCGGCTCTTTACATACACTTGTCCCTCTCTGCTGCCTCCTCGCTCTCCCCACCCCTCCTGCACTGTCACAAACACTCCGTGATCTCTGCCTTCAGGCACTTTTCCTGCCGCTTTAATTCTCAATGGGCTCCTCTCTGGCCCTCATGAGACCGCTTCCCTTTGACCTGCCGTCTCCTCTGAAAGCGTCAGGGTGATCTCAGGCCCCCCAGGAAGACCATGGCCCCCAGCACCCTGAGGAGTGCCACCTGCTGCCTCTCTGACAACACAAGTGCTCTCAGCTGGCCAGAGGGGAACGGGGCCAACCCCACAGTTTTCCCAAACTAACCAATGCTGCAGGCATTAAGGTGTCGCAATCTGCTATTTATTTCTACAATAAATGACACATAAATAAATAAATCACAGTTCAATTCCTCGGCCAAACTGCCAACCACATTCTCCAGGCAGTGCCACCTTCTGAAGGGACTGGAGCCAGCACCTCCAAGTCCTTATCGTTCAGTGACCTTTGACATGACCCCTCAGGGCCTTCCCACCCTCACCGCTGCTGACTGCTGCAGCACGGGAGCTGTGCGTCCGAGCTTCTGGCTTGGAAGAGTCTTCCTTGCTTTGTAAACAGTGACGGTGTGGAAGTCACTAAGAGCTCTCACAGTGAGGGATCTCTAACTATGGCAAAGGCCTCCCAGAAAGGGAATGACAACCACCAGAGGAGCTGTCTGTGTCTGACACACACAAAAAGAATAAAATAATGTGACTTGTGAGATTCAACACAGCTTTGAAAGGCAAATACAGTAGTCTTTGCTTCATAACTCATGTATTTACACTTGTCTTTCTCATCCATTAGAATACTCATACCACCGCCCTGGCTGATTTGGGTCCGTGGATAGAGCGTCGGCCTGCAGAGGGAAGGGACCTAGGTTCTATTCCAGTTAGGGGCGCGTGCCTGGATCGTGGGCTTGATCCCCAGTGGGGGATGTGTGGGAGGCAGCCAATCGACGATTCTCATCATTAATGTTTATCTCTCTACCCCTATCCCTTCCTCTCTGAAATCAATTAAATTATATATATACAATTTAACTCATACCACCTGCTACTTACAGAGCTGAATACATTCTCTTTCCTCCTTAAAACAACCCTGCGAGTCTGGCGTCCTCACTCCATTAAATAGATTAAAAATGAGGCTTACAGAGGATGACTGACTTTTCTAAGTTCAGTTAATAAGAGGCACAGTTATGATTCAAACCCACAGCTGTTAATCTCTAAAACCGTAACTCCCCCCCCCATCCCACCCCCCCAGCCAACGAATCTCTGGTAAGATTATGCTTCCTATTTTATACCAAGAGGACTGAAAGGAGAGGGGGGCTTTAAGACAGATCCTACAGTAAGTTAATCAGTAATAACAGTAGTAATAATTGCTGACACTGATCTAGCTTTTAGTATGCTCCAGGTACAAATGCTTTGCATCTAATTCTCCTGATGACTCCATTAGAAAGATGCTATTATTAGACTAAGCTGACCAGACGTCCCGCTTTTAGCTGGACAGCCCCGATTTTTAACAATTTGTCCCGAGTTTCAAGGCGTTTTTTTAAAAAAAAAAGTCCAAAAGATTTAAAAGAATCTTTCCAAAAATCGGAACTTTTTAAAAACGCCGTGGGGCAAATTGTTAAAAATCGGGACTGCCTCGCCAAGAGCGGGACAACTGGTCACCTTATATTGGACCCATTTCTGATTAGAAAATTCAGGCACTGAGCGGTTAAGCAATTTGTCCAGGGTCACAAAGCCAGTAAGTGGATTTTAACAAGAATACTATACACTTGGGAAAGAGCACTGGATTGGGAATTGAAAGCCTCCTCAGCTGCCAGACTCAGAAATTCCATTCAACTTCTCTGAGCCTCAGTTTCCCCTTGTATGAAATGAGTCAGCCTGGATGATTTTTTTAGAGTTTCAGCTCTATGATTCTTTGTCCGAAAAGAATAACAAATCCTACAGGCATCAATCTGAGACTATGCAATCTGCTCATTTATGGATCCTTTGTCCCCCTAACCGGGCAGGGATTCTGTATCGACAGGGCGCTAGCCACCTTCCTTTTTCCTAACAAGAAGAGTGGGAAAATCTGAGTCTGGGGAAGCTACTCCGGAAAGGTGAGTTCCTGAAGACACTCAGACAGAAGCTAGGGATCCGAACTCACCCGTTTCGATCGTATTTCTTGAACACGGGGAAAGCCTCCAAAGGGTCGCCGAGCTGTGGAGGGAAGGAGAGAAGTAGCAGACACCCGCGTGGCGGAGCGCGCTCTGCCCTCAAGTCCGATGCCGGTCAGGCCACACCGGGAGGCTCGGCGCTGGGCCAGTCCACCCTCAGAGGAACCCTGCCTCAGCTCTGAACCCCATGTGGGAGGGAGGCATGGTGAGGAGGCCAAAGACAGTTCAGTTAGTTCCTTTGCCAGGACAGGAAGACTCGCCCAGGATAAAACTGATACTGGCCTGTGGGCACACTCTCTGCTCACTGCTCACCTATCAAAACCCAAACCTGAAAACCCCACCCTGAGCCACAGCCTATCCATGTGGACTGTCACTGAGGGGCTGTAAGGACAACCAAAGGTGAGCTATGAAGGGGTGGGAAGGTGGCCAGCATCTCTCTGATTCAGTTTCAAATCCAGTCTGGCGCTCAGGTTCACGGCTACTGCTCCCGAATGCAGCCTCTTGAGACCAGGTGGCTGCGTCTTCCTGGTCCCAGAACACCCTGTGGCACTACACAGGCGGTCAGTAAGTGTTTGAAGAACAAGTGAGGAAATTATGCCACATTTTATGAGGGAGGTGTGCTTCCCAAAATGCAAAATCCTAATGAAAATTTCTCCAGGCCCTCTTGTCCAGGCCCTCTGGCCCAGAGGGGCGCAGCCGCTTCCACCTGAACCCACATTTCCCTCCACGGGGGGCCGACTGCCGCCCACCTGGAAACCCTCCCAGGCTCATGTGGCTCATTTTCCTCAGCAAGGAGGCAGCGGAGGTGTGGTGGGTAGTAACACAATTCTGCCACCGGGTGGCGCCAAAGGAAGTAAAAGTAAAAGCCAAGTTGCAGTTGGAGGAGGGGCTGGGAAGGAGTGGTCACCCTGTTGGCTGCATCCACTTTGGCACAGACGGCATCCATGGCTGCTCGCTCCTCCAACCGCTTCTGCTTCTTCTCCTTTGCTTTGCTCGACTTCCTCTGTAACACAGAAAAGCAACGCTGGCTTCAAGGTCTGCGGCCAAGCCTTTGAGGCACCGAAGGGTCGGTCCCTGCATCCACAGACCTGGCCCAGCAGCGGGAACTCCGAGCCAGGCCGCCCCACCTGCTGGGACTCCAGGCCTGAGACTTCGGGAGAGTCTCAGCTCCGTCTCAGCTCCCGTCGGGAGCCTGCCCCCAGCAGACGCCTAAGAATACTCCCTCGGCCCTGCCGCCTGCGGAGGGCAGTCGTTTCGGACAGATTCAGGGAGGAGATGCAGCTGAGGAAGCTGCGGACAGTTTATTGGGAGCCTTTCCAGTGTCTCCTGGCCTTGGGAGGCAGAGCTTGGGACTGGGCCCGTCTCGCTAGGGCCAAGGCGCTCTGGCTTAAGGAGACAGTGCTGCTCAGCCACGGCCAGTGAGTGGCAGGCACACTGGGCAGAGCGAGGGCCCACAGGGTTCACCTGGGGACAGAGGCCTTGCTGACACGTGGCCAACAAGCCAAACGCAGCCACAGGCAGAGGGAGGAGCACAGTGGGAAGCCACACACAGCTGTAGCGAGGGCAGATCCTTTCTGAGGCTCGTGTGCGGCTCTCAGGCCTAAATGGACCCTCCTGGGGGAACAGGGGGAAAGAGCCAGCTCTGGAGTCTGACAGATCTTATCCAAAGCCTCTTTCTGCTCTTCAGTCCCTGCATCTTCGGCAAACCACTGCCTCCTCTCCCCGGCTGAGTGGGGCCGTGGATATCGATCTGGAGGCATTGAGCCCGTGAGGGTTAACATAGCACATGCTCGATAAATGACAGTTCCACTCACACCCGAGAACCAGAGCAGCACACACATCTGGACGTGCCCGTCCACCCAGCTGGTGCAGGGGCACCCCAAAGGCTCTGAGCTCACCAGAGAGCGGTCCTACTCGGTTCCCCCAGGAGTGACACTGCTGACTCCTCCAAGCAGCCAGGAGGCAAGAGTTCCGAGACCAGGCCGCCCCCGGGATTGCTCGTCCAGCTGTGAACTCAGCCAGCACCAGCCACTGGTGTCTGCAGCTGAGCACGTGCTGGAGGCCAGGCCAGACCCAGCTCTTGCCTCTCAAGGAGGGAACACAAGAGAACACGCTGCCTCCCTGAGAGGGGCTGGGACTGGACACAACCAGCCCTCCACCAGACAGGTTTGGGGGCTTCCATCGTTCTCTCAGGATTTGGGTTTCCAGACAGCACCGAGATACGCCCGCTGGCAAGTGCTTTTGCAGACAGCACCTGGCTCAGCTCCAGGGCAGAAACCACGAGCCCTCACACATGAGGAAACTGAGGCTCAAAGGGATGTGGGACTCGTCCCAAGTTCCCCAGAGGAAATGGCAAGGGGGAAACTCAATCCCAAGGGCTGGGCCTTAGACCAGCCATGCTACCTCCCACTGGGAGAGCCCTCGTCCCTGTCAAAGACCTTCTCAGGCCGGCGGCCAAGGTTAAGGTCAAGATGAGATCTCGCCGAGACCGGTTTGGCTCAATGGATAGAGCATCGGCTTGGGGACTGAAGGGACCCGGGTTCGATTCCGGTCAAGGGCATGTACCTTGGTTGCGGGCATATCCCCAGTAGGGGGTGTGCAAGAGGCAGCTGATCGATGACTCTCTCTCATCGATGTTTCTAGCTCTCTATCTCTCTCCCTTCCTCTCTGTACAAAATAAATAAAATATATTTAAAAAAAAAAAAAAAAAAAAAAAAAAAAAAAAAAAAAAAAAAAAAAGATGAGATCTCAAAAGCCCTCCAGGCAGCTACTCAGCAATTCATTTCCCATTACCCTCTGGCTTGGTGATGGCTGGTATGACGTGCCAACACAGTGCCACCCCAAGTCCTATCTCCCTGAGGTAGGGGCAAGGAACAGGGAGACCCGAGACAGGGCTCCAGGGCTGTGCGATGGGGCAGAAAGAACACAAGCTTTGGCACCCATCAGGCCAGGCCGGTGCCCTTGCCGCCCCTGCATGACTTGAGAAAGCAACTCCATCTCCAGAGAAACGGAACGCAACACCGGCCTCCCGGAACGGCTGTAAGGACAGGCCAGCCAGCACACCTTCACACAGAAGCAGTCCCTTCCTCCACCCAGCACGCTAGCTCTCAGCATGACACGGAGCTGCTGGATCAAAGGCGCTGGAAGGAAAGCATGGCTCCAGGGATTCCGAGAGCACTGACACGTGGCTCCCCCGTTTCTAAGCACAGGAAGTAAGCAATTCCAAACACCAGCAGCAGGAGAGCCAGCGCCAGCCTCGGGTTTACAGGCTCCTTCATGCAGGGGGACGGGGGGACGGGGGCAGGCAATCCCCGGAGTGAGGCTTGGGGCTGCCCTGACCCCGGACTGCAGATAATGGAAGCGCCCGTAAGCGCTTTGCCGCCTGCACTGGGGCAGGAGGCAGACTGCAGCAGGCCGGGCCAGGCAGGCAGGGGTCCCCCGCAAACCTCGCACACCCTCGGAAAAGCCTCCTGCTGCTCCAGTTGGCTTCGCCCTGTGTCGTGGAGGTACATGGAAACGTTCTCCTAATTAAAGTGGGCACAAGCACAGTGAGCAGGAAGCTCATTGCGGGCAGTCTCTGTCCCAGGGGAGCTTTCTAAATAGAGTGCGGGACTCTGAGTCAGAGGCTGGATTTGGTTCTCAGCTCTTCTACTGAGTAGCTGTGACTTTGGACAAGTTGTTTAATCTTTTCCAGCAAGGTTTCTCTGAACCTCATTTCCTCATCCATCAAATGGAACTGTCAAGGATCCACTAGTAGCAGACACTCCGCTAGCGCTTTAATAGAGGATTTACTTTAATCTTCACAAGAAGTCAGTAAGGTATGTGCGCCCACTTCTCTGATGAGAAAACTGAGGCACAGAGAGGGCAGATAACTTTCCGGGCCCCGGAGTCTCAGAGATCTTCCTATTACATCTCCCTCATTCCCAGCAAACCATGCCTTCCTCGAGGCGAGGCCACATTTGCTTTATTTGCCAGTTTTCAGCCCAGCACTCAGCAAGCAGGAGGTACCCACACCTGGTAATCATTCAAGACTGAAATCCAGGTCTGAAACCTAGAGTCCATGCTCCTTCCACTATCCCATCGACTGCACTTATGACACATTATGAAGCATGACGTGTTTTCACATGCAGCTGTGAGACTCCTCCCGTGCTGTTCCTACCACATTAGTATCCCCACACTCACTTCTCTGACATGGAGAAATTTTTTTAATCCTCACCGGAGCACATTTTTCCATGGATTTTTTTAGAGAGAGTGGAAGAGAGAAGAAAAGACAGAAATATTGATGTGAGAGAAATACATTGATTGGTTGCCTCCTGCACATGCCCTGACCAGGGCCTGGGCTGGGGAGAAGCCTACGACCAAGGTATGTGCCCTTGACCTGAACTGAACCCGGGACCCTTCGGTTGGCAGGCTGATGCTCTATCCACTGAGCCAAACCACCTAGGGCTGGAGAAATTTAAAGAGACAAAAAACACCCAGATGGAGGCAAGAGGCACCTTTCAGATAAAAAACTTGTCATCTCCTGGATTTTCAGTGTTAATACCCCGGTCTTCCCCCCATCCCACAAAATATCCAAAATCCGAAAAGAGCCTCTGTGCAGGGCAAAGGGAGACATCTAAATCTAATTCCTAACGCATGCCTGTGTGGCAGCCAGGGCCAAAGAGCGCTGAAGTACGGTGCTCCCTCGGAGGCCCCTTAGCCTGAGGTCAGCTGTGGGAGCGTGGCCCTCTGCTGGAAAGTGGCCACCTGGGGGCCATCCTGACACTGAAGTGGGGATGATGACGATGAGAGGGTTCCATGAGGATGATGACGACGAGAGGGTTCCAGTTCGGTTTCAGGGAAGGAAGTGATGTCTCACTCTTGCAATGAGTTTAGAACAGAAGAGACAGGTCGGGGCATTCTGAGACGCTCATCTGTAATGTCCGAGCGATAGGCCGGGGCCTGAGGGAAGCTCCGACCACAGTATCTCAGCCTGGGAGGAGCTCAGCCAACAGGAAGTGGCCCGGAGAGGTACGTTACGCTTCTTTTTCCTGCTCCGTCTAAGCGGCTGATGCCGGCACACAGGCTTCCTCTGGTTCCCACAAGACAGGGCCGGGGCCTCTCACCCACGCCGAGGTTAAATATGCCCAAGTCTCCAGACTTGATTTTCTACCTACGGAACACAGCCCCCCAAGTTCCTGGTTGAAACATGATGAATGTGCTTTGACGTGGGTTAGACAACTATTTTTGCTAACAAGTTGATCTGTCCAGTCAATCACTATTTGAATGAGAAAAGCATCCAGGTCAGTAACAGCAGGGACACACACGGGTAAAGGAAAGCTAGCTCACATCTGTTAATTCACTAAGTAAAGGCTGCCAAGACAGGCAGAGCAACCGCCACCAATCCGGAGGCCACGGGGCTCCCTGCACCCACCCCCTCGCATGCAGGGGAAATTCACATTCACAGGCCTGTCCCTGGCACAGGGGCGTGCTGCTGGCCAGCGGATGGGGCTGGAGCCGAGGTAGCTCTGGCTCCGGAGTGGGGGACCCCATGTGAACACTAACACTGTGACAGGCAGGCCGCGTCCCTAGTTCAGAGAGGGCCTGATGCCACTCTGCTGGGGCTTGGGAAGGCGAGCCCACAGGAGCATGTGCCTAACTCCCACCAGCACCGGCGGCGCCGCGGGAACAGGTGGCCGCCCCCCCACGTCCGCGCGGAGGCCCGCGCCCACCCCGCGCTCCCGCGGCAAAGCCACCTGCGGCGCTGAGGCCGCTACCGACAGGGGGTGCGAAGGGCAGCTCCCTGCTCCCGCCGGGACGGAGGGACCGCTCCCGGGGCAGGAGGAACCCGGCGCCGAGGCTCCGAGAGGGAACGGGAGCGGCTCCATGAGGCCGGGCGGCGGGCGGCAGGGGCTCGGAGACCCGGGGCGGCCTGGCCCCGGGCACCGCCGGTGTGACCTTGGCTGGGTGCCTTCTCTTCCCCGGGCCTCAGCTGCCCCCGGGCCAGGGCTCACCTAAGACGGGGGAAGCCCCAAAGCCGGTGACAACCAGGTGACAGTGACCCCTGGGGCTGGGGGGCACCCCAAGATCCGCGCAGGGGCCGGGGGAGGCCACGGAGGTAACAGGTCAGCGAGGAAGGCGGGCGCGCGGGACGCGGAGGGCGGGGACACCGAGGGGGTGGGTCCGGAGAAGGGGGCTCCCAAGGGATTCCCGCGCTGGGCCGGGCATGGGGACACTTAGAATGGGGGAGTCGGGTGATTTGGGGGGTGGGGTCACGTGAGGCCAGAGGGGGTCGGGGTCACGTGAGGGGGGGCTCAGGAACAATGGGGGCGCAGGGAGCAAGTGGAGCGGGGAGCGCTGCGGACCCTCGCGTCTCCTCCCTCTGCCCCACTCACCCCCATGGCGGCAACGGCGGCAGCGGCGCTCGGCTCCTCTTTCCCACACTTGCCGGCAGGAAGGCGGCAACGGCAGCGACGGCGGCAGCGGCGACAGCGGAGCGACCGCGGTCCCCGCAGCGCGCATGCGCCTGGCGGGCTCCCCCGCGCGCTGGTGGGCCCCGCGCGTGCGCACAGCCGAGGCGGGTGGGGGCGCGAGCAGGTGGAGAGCGCGGGAGGCGGGCTGAGGGTCCTGCCGCCGAAAGAGGCGGGAGTCGCAGAGAGCGTCGCTCTAAGAATGACGTAGCGCCGGGCCCGCCCCCTGCTCGCCAGGCTGCTTCTGTAGCCATGGCAACCGCTGCGCCGCGCGGAGAAGCGCGCCTCCGGGCAGCCCTGGCGCTCAGCATCACTGTGGCCCCGCCAGGCCGGAGCAGCCACCTTCACAGACAACCAAACCTTCCCGACCGCTGAAGTACCAGCCCCTCCTGCAACTCTGGGCACAGGGAAGTCTTTTCTTTCTTTCTTCTTTTTTTTCCTCCTTATTTTAGAGAGAAACCTTAGCGTGAGAGATACCTGGATGAGTAGGCACCAGACCGAGGATCGAACCTGCAACCTTTTGGTGTCCAGAATGACACTCCGCCCAGCTGAGCCACACACACCTGGCCAGGGCACAAACGTTCCCACTTAAATCCTGAACTCTTTATTTTTTAAATAATTTTTATTGATTTCAGAAAGAAAGAGAGACAGAAACATCAACGGTGAGAGAGAATTATTGATAGGCTGCCTCCTGTGCACCCCACATTGGGGATCCAGCCAGCAACAGGGCATGGGCCCTGATCAGGAATTGAACCATGACCTCCTGGTTCATAGGTTGATGCTCAGCCACTGAGCCAGGCCGGTGGGGCTAGATCCTGAATTCTTGAAATTCCCTTTTAACTAGAGTCCCATTATTCATCCACCCTTCGTTCATTTGCTCTCTCAACATTTACAGCCCCTACGCTGTGCTGAGACAGGGGCCACAGAGAGGAACAAGATGCTGGCTGCCGTCTCAAACAGAACTCTAGGGAGGAGCCAGGCACGTGACAACTGTTCATGAAGAGAGGATGGTGCTGGGGAAAATGAGACCCCAGGCATCCTGGGCAGTATTTCAGTCTATTCCAGAAGCCCAAGATGTGACCCCCACGTGACCTTCCTTAGAACTACCCAGGGAGCTTGAGCACTCCGCACACCCCTGGGCCCACAGAAATCCAGGGGCGGAGACAGAGTCTGCCTCTGAGAGCCCTGCAGGTAGGGCTGAACACCCGAACATGGGGAGACACTGCCCAGGACTTCCGCTCCACAGACTATCAGGTTTTGCTCATTCTCCCATCTCCAGTGCTAGGAACAGGCACTCAAATAACATTTGCTGGGTGCCCACCGTCTGCTAGACACTGTTACCAACAGCAAAGAAAGCAATACCAAGCAGAAAAGATGCTGCTCTCATAGAACTAGAAGCAGGAGGCAGATAATTAAATGACTGGGTAAAATACATACTACATACTACATACTACATTAAATGACAGGTTCTGTGGAGGGGGTGGGGAGAGGCAGGCAAAGAGGATAGGGACGGTCAGGGTATACAGTTCTAACCAGGATGCTCAGGGAAGGCAAGCACGAGGTGCCATTGGAGTCAAGCTCTGAAAGAGAGGAGGGGGCAGGTCCTGAGGCTCCCTGGGGAAAGGGGCTCAGTCAGGGGTCCGGCCAGGGCAGAGCCTCCGCGCTGGGACACGGCTGGGATGTCTGAGGAGCCGCAGGAAGTCCGGTGTGGCTGGGGAGAGGGCAGCAGGGCAGTAGGAGGGGAGACCAGCCAGGTAAGGAGAAGGTCAGGGAGGGCTGGCAGGTCTTGAAAGACGTTGCGACCAGAGCCAGCGTGGAGGGGCAGCAGGGCTGCGGGCAGGTCCGCCCTGGTGCTGGGAGGAGGGAGGAGCGTGTAGGGCCAGGTCAGAGGAGGGCAGGGCCGAGGCCGCTGCTCTCACCACGGCAAGAGTGGCGGTGCTGGCACCGCTGGGTAGCCGAGGAGGCGGGAGAGGGGGCCGGGGCCTGGGTGCGGGCTGAAGGCAGAGCCGACGGGACTTGCTGGAGGAGAGGGTGTAGGGTGTGAAGGAAAGAAGAGAGTTAAGTTGCCTTCAGATGTTTAGCTTGTGCCGCTGGGGAAATGGAGTGGCTTCATCAGAGACTGGGCGGCTTCGCGAGGTGGGACAGGTGGGCGTGGGGGAGGGGGAACTCCGTTCCAGCCATGTCTGTTCTGAGAAGCTTTTGAGATATTCGCATGGACACGCGGAGTACTGGGAGTCTGGAGCCCAGGGGAGAGGGCAGGCAGGAGACACACCTTTCAGCACAGTAGGCCCGTGGGTGGTATTCAGAGCTGGAGGAGGCTGGGAGGGACTTGGAGCGGGTGTAGGTAGACTAGAAGGACTCAGAAAACGGGGTTGCTAGCATTCTGGGACCAAGAGAGGGAGCTAAGGGTCAGAGGGGCGTGGCCCAGGTGGGGGCATCTCAACTTGCCTCGAAGAAGGAGGCCAGGAGATTCGGGGAGGGACAGTGAGCAGGAAGCAGGGGGCACGATAGGAATGAGGTTCATCCGCCCCCCAGCCCAGCGTCCCTCCTGCTGGGCCTCTCCCCTCTCAGCCCCTGGGGAGCTTCCTGCCAGCTGCTTCAGGGGACAGGCGCCTGCCTCCCGGACACCTTGCGCCCCATCTTTCTTGTCACTCCCCACTCTTGGCTGCTGGGATTTGCCGGCTCCCAGACAAGGCCTGGGAGGGGAGAGCCCAGGAGTCCCTTGGGGAGGTAACATCATGTAGCCCCCCCACAACTGTGAGACCACCCGTAGCAATCATGTCACCGTCCTCTTCCGTGGGGGCTCTGGGTTAAATGAGATGGGATGGTGGACAGCACCTGCATGGCCTCGGCAGGAAAGGAATGCCCTCCCCACCCGCTGTGCCCCTGCCCCCCCTCCTCCCCTCCCTCCATTTCCTGCCCAGCACCTCCCCCTACAGACCAGGCTGTCCACAGGCCACGTGAGCCCCTCCCTCCAGCTCCCATGCCGGGGCCTGGGCCTTCTCAGCTCTCCTCCTCTCTGACCCTCCTCTCAGGCCTGTACTCCTCCCACCTTCTTTCTGGGCTCCTCCTCCTCTGCCTCTCCTTCACTCCCCCCCAATACTGCCCCCCTCCGTCACTCCAGAGCCCTCCGCTGCTCCCAGCTATTCCTCTGCTCACCTGCTCAGCAGAGGCTCAGGGCCGCTGTGTGCTCTGTGCTGTCCTCTGTGTCATCAGCTGGCCCGAGGGGCCTCGATTTCCCAAAAAGAGTCTGAATGTTCCCCACCTGCCTCTTCCTGCCTCGGGGGGAGGTGGGAGCTGAGCCTCCTCCAAGGCCAGACTTCCCTGGGCCTCAGCCCCTCGGTGAGGGTCCCTCCCCGCAGCCCCTCCCTCCTCCAGCTTCTCCGGAGCTCCTCTCCAGCTCCAGCCTGCGCTGGGCCGCCCTCTTACCCAAAAGCACCGGGAAATGGGGGTCTACCCTGTCTCTGCCTCCGGCCTCTCCTGCCACTAACCCTCCCCCGCGGCAGCCCGCTCTGTCCCTGCCGCACAGGCCTCTCCCGGTGCCTCCGGCAGCTCTGCTCATCCCTGTCCACAGCGAGGCCCTTCTCCTGGACCTCCTCCGGCTGCCGGGTCCCTCACTCCCTTTTCCTCAAAACTCTGTTCTTTCCTTGGCATCGGTGAGGGCACAATCCTCCCCTCTCTTCACTGGCACATCTAGCCGGGCCAGATAATGCCCTACAAGGGTGTCAGGGTGCTTGGCCGCTGCCCGCCTGCCCAGGTCCCCCCTCTCCACCCCCACCTGCTGTCCCCCTCCCCCGAAACCCTCTCTGCTCCCCACCTCTGGGTCCCAGCTTACAGAGGGGAAGCCTTTTCTGACTCGGGTGGCTGGCCCGGACTCACTTCCTGGGCCTGCCGCTGCCTCCTCCAGGCCCTGTGGTCCACCGCAGGGCCCCTCTCCTCTGCCAGCTCCCCATGAGGCTGCGGCTCCCGCCGCCGGGCTGTGTTGCTCTCTGCTGTGGTCAGGGCTGCCAGACACAAGACATGGGTCAAGCTGAAACCGGTTTGTCTCAGTGGTAGAGTGTCGGTCTGTGGACTGAAAGGTCCCAGCTTCGATTCTGGTCAAGGGCATGTACATTGGTTGCGGGCACATCCCCAGTAGGGGGTGTGCAAGAGGCAGCTGGTCGATGTTTCTCTCTCATCGACGTTTCTAGCTTTCTCTCTCTCTCCCTTCCTCTCTGTAAAAAATCAATAAAATATATTAATTAAAAAAAAAAAAAAAAGATATGGGTCAAGCTTGAACTTACCCTTCATCTGAAACTCACTGGGCGCCCTGCATCTTTATATGTCGGATGTGGCCACCTAACCCTGGCTTAGGTGTCTCGGTTGGCTGGGCACTGAAGGGTGGCTGTTTTGATTCCAGTCCGGACACATGCCCAGGTGGCACCTTATCCCCCAGTAGGAGGTGTGCAGGAGGCAGCTGATCCATGTATTGCTCTCACATCGGTGTTTCTCTCTCTCTCCCTCTCCCTTCCTCACTAACAACAAAAAAAATCAATTTAAAAACATCTAAATTTGGCACCCTTAATGGCTGTACCCCCGGGACCCAACCCGCCTGGCTCAGGAGATGTTAGCTGAAGGAATAAGGTGGCACGGTGGGGGCAGGCGCAGACACTGGGCACCGAGGGAGGTAACAGGCTCCCTGGGGCGGTGACACCTGAGCCAAAGCAGGTGGAGAGATTAGGTCATGGCATCAGCCAGCCGCCACCCCACGGGGACGCTTCTCCCCTAAGGGGTTGAATTGAGTCCCCTAAAGCAGTGTTTTCCAAACTTCTCTCATGATAAGAATCACCCGGTGGAGTTGTTAAACCACAGATTCCTGATTCCCAACTGAGAAGTGCTAAACTAGAATTTTTTGAAACATATAGGTAAAATTGTATACTTAACTAAGAGCACTAAGTTAAGTATACAATTTTACCTATATGTAACCAAAAATTCTAGCTTAGCACTTCTCAGCTGGGTTTTGGGAATTTGTAGTTTAACAACTCCACCAGGTAAAAAAACAAACAAACAAAAAAACAACTCCACCGGGTGATTCTCATCATGAGAGAAGTTTGGGAAACACTGGCCTAAAGAGATCCGCTGAAGTCCTCACCCCTGGCACCTGCAAAGGAGACCGTGTTTGGAAACTGGG